GCTATGTGCAGACGACAATGGCATTTCATAATGATTTACGCTGAGAATCCATACAATACAGCCGGAGCAGGTCTGTGCTCGGCCAGACAGAAGCAGATCAAACAAGCACGGGGTAATATGTCACATCACGTCACGCTCTCCATAGGCTCTAGTCATCGAACGTGTAGCGCAGCCACTCGCCAACCGCCCGCAAGCTCTCCCACCGCACCGACTCGTCTTTGTCCGTCATCAACTCCATGACACGAGTCTTCAGACCCAGCTTTTCCAGCTGTGCCCGCCTTTCGGGTAATTCCTTCACCAAGTGACCCACGTCGTTACAGGCAATTGCCAGCACCTGCTTGTCGTTATCCCAGCTCTTAGAAATGATTTCGGACAGCTTCTTCGGCAGTGCACCGTTGTTCTCGTCGAGGATGCGACGGGCGTTGTCCTTCCAGAAGGTAGGGTTGCGGTGGGGCGGGGACCACCGGAGGTGGCCGGACTGCAGCTCAGCTGCGTACTGATCGAACGTCGTCTGTGTCTTGGTGTACTCGTCCAGCATTTCGGACAGGAATGTGAGGTCCTCCAGGAGATCCGGGTCGGTCAGATGGCGGCCGGCGAGGTTCGTCAGGAGGGCAGGGAGGCGGACAAAGACTGCGACCGGGAGCAGGGTGGTGCGGTTACTAGACAGGAGGTTGTTGAGGGTCGCAAGGAGGAGTCGCGTGGTCTTCTCCTTCGGAGAAAGGCGTAGGAGGTGTGTGTACAGCTGGACAAACTCGTAGTCCCTATAACCATTGTCAGCCTCATTCCATCTTTAAACCCCTTGGGAGTCAGGTTACATACGCTTGCAGATCATCGCCAATCAACTGTCCTTCAAAACTGAGCTGCCAGAGGACAAGCAAGACCCGGTACAACAGCTGGAGACCAACACCACCGGCAAGACCAGGCTCGATCGCGCGCGAGCTGCCCGCCAAGGTGCTGGAGCTGTTATCTTTAGCACCCGTAGCTGCACGCAGGATCTCAATCAACGGCTCAACGGTCTGCTGCCTCTGCTTCCAGAAGATCTCGCGAGACCTCGAGGTTCGTAGCAATGCGGACAGCTCCTGAACCCCGATATCCTGCAGCCCGCTGTCTTGGTTCTGGGTCAGGGTAGAGAGATAGGTGTACAACTGCGGAAGCGCTTCGTCATCCCGCGCAGCTGGCTTAGATGACGTGCCCAGGCTGACGGAGACAAGGTTGGTCAAGAAGGTGGAGGTGAGCAGAGGGATCGGGTCTTCGGGGTTGGTGGAGTGACGCAAGAGGGGAAGGAATGGCTTGTAAGGGTCGGGATGCGCGACCAGGGCGGTCGACAGGGAGGGGACATCTAGAGAACCAGTATGATCAGTATTCGTTTCCATCGTCACTATCGCAATCCGACCAGGGAGAAGGTGCCCGTACCGTTGATCAAATCCGCGGCCAGCACGAGAATGTATTGCACAATATCGGTTCTCCTGGAAGCGGAGTCCAGCACGCTCTTCCCTTCAGAGCCACCAGAAAGTAGACCAACATAACCAGCCAGATCCCCTTCGACAGTCTGACGCCGCTGCTCCTTGCGAACCTTGTCCACCGCCTTGATCTTCTTCAGGTGGTCATCGGTGATGTTTCCCGCTCGGACAGCTCCCTCCCATGGGATGGGACGAGCTCGGATGTTGTTCTGTAGCGAACTGAGGTAGGTGGGTGGCTCCAGGGGTAGCGACGACATGGTGATTCCGGAGGAGGGGGGGAAATTCAGGAGCCAACCGGAACGGAGAAAACTGGATTGAGGGGAGAGAGGGACGGGGGGGTTGCGGAGGTGGTGAAAGAGGAGGAGGTTGGGGAACGGCCAGGGAGGAGCCGATGATGATACGAATCACGTTCGCCGTCACTCTGTCTAGTGTCTCTCCATCCCCGGCCGCCAAGCCGGTTGCGCTTCATCGCTTCTTCGGAGTCCACGCAAGCTGCAACGTATCGACCGAACGGACCCCTCCTCCTCTCCGACTCCGGTCGGACAACTCACTCTCTTTGGATCTCATTGCTCTTACACTTCCTCGGAATTCGTGCTTCTCTAAGCTAGTCTCTCGTTTGTGATTGCTTCCCGCGTCCGATTTAGTACTACGGCCTCGTCTTCCTCTTAGTGACGACAAGCCGGCATCAGATCGCATCATCGTCAAAACTCCTCGCTTTCCATGATTGAATTGGCGCATTCTTGCTGCTAGGTATCCTAGTTTGCAGGAGCAACAATATTCACAGCCGTCACGATGTCGCAGGGTTCTCAGGGCTCCAAGCCGAAATGGAAAGTGGGCTCTTTCCTGCAGCAAGCCGTTGCCGGCGTTGAGTCCAGGCTGGACTTGATCCTGGCCGAAGAGGAGGATCAGAAACAATCACAGGCCAAGCATGCGACCGCAAAGCCCAAACCAAATGAGCAGACAAGCAGTATGGAGACTCTTGATCGATTTGGGCGGTTGCGCTATGTAAGATTGCTAACAGTCACCAGGTATATCACGCAGTTCGTCGAATGCGCGAAAGAATGATCGCCTTCAGGAACGCCTGGCTCGTGCCGTGGTCAAGTCGAATACCGCTGGCAATACTTCCTCGCAGCCTTCCAGCCATGCCCCCTCCCCCGTCAGCAGTCCGGTTCCCAGCAACGGTGGACGCTCGAGCATGGATATTGATGCTAGTCTTGATTCCCAGAATGGAAGTACAGGGAGACATTCTCGAAATTCCAGTCGGCAGGAAGTAATTGCAGCCACAGAGGCTCCTCGGATGAGCCAGGACTCAGCCGTCTCGTCACGCCGCTCTGAGGACCTCGTTTCGCAGACCGGAACTTCTCATGTTGAGGAGGCTGCTTCAGCAGACACCTCTAATGCGACACATGATACCACACAAAAAGACAGCGCATCATCTCCCGAGCCTGAACAAACTCCCGCGCCTACGGTTTCCCTGCCAAAGACGGATACTCCTACGGACAGCCCCAGAACTTCCAGTGACCAAGACAAGTCTATTGCGCAGTTACAGGCGGACCACAAAGCTGCAGAGTCTCAGTGGCAGGAGGAAATGTACGGATATATCGAACGGATCGATGCGCTGCAGTCCAAGTTAAAGTATTTGGCCAAGGAAGCCGCGGAATCTGCCAAGAAGGCAGCGGCTACAGCAGAGCCAGGGAGCGTCGAAAAGCAGCTTCGAGAAAAGGACGAAAAGATCGCACTGTTGCTCGAGGAAGGACAAAAGCTCTCCAAGTCGGAAATGGACCACAGAACCGCGATCAAGAAACTGAGGCAGCAATTGGCAGAGAATGCAAAGGCGCAGACTGAGTCAAAGAAGAAGACCGAGAAATTGGAACGGGATCTTGCCAATGCAGAAATCAGAGCCAAACGGGCCGAGGCGGCCGAGAAGAGAGCAAATGACTCGCTCTCTGCGCAAACGAAGGTGTCTCGGGACCTAGAAGCCGCGACGGCAGAGCGTAACGCACTCAGCCAGACTGTACAGGAATTGAAAGGACAGCTCGCTCGAGCTGTGTCCAGAGCGGAAGCTGCAGAGGCCAAGGCTCAATCCGAGGCACTCGAGCAGGAGAAGCGTCGCGCCACCCAGTTGGAGGAGGATCTAGCAAGCGCCAAGATCGAACGTGAAATCAGTGAAGAGAAGCTGAATAGAGAGATCAGCGATCTGAAGGGAACCATTGAGCAGGAAAAGGAGCGAGCGCGTATGTTGGAGATCGAGCTGAAGGGGGAGCAGTCGGCGCTGGAAAGTAAGATGGAGTCCTTGCGGTCTCGGGCAGAAGAGGCATCTTCCGGTGTTACTGGCGATGCGCAAGCCAAACTCCTGCGTCAGATCGAAACCCTCCAAACACAGTATGCAGTCGCCAGTGAGAATTGGCAGACCTTGGAAGGCTCACTACTGGCACGGTTGGCGAACGTCGAGAAGGAGCGGGATGAGGTTGCACGACGGGAGGGCGAGATGCGGCGGAAGATCCGCGAAGTGGTAAGACGCCCTAAATTTCTGAAGCAATGGCACCAGATAGACTGACTGTGCACAGAACCTCAAAGCGAAAAGACTTGAAGAAGACCTGGAGAATGCCAAGGAGGCCGAGCATGACCTCGAAGGAAAGCTCGAAGAGCGCATGCAAGAACTACAGAAGGCAGAGCAGAAGCTGAAGAAGTCGGCGGATGACTTGGCCCTGGCTCAAAAGGATCTCGTTGAACAAAAGAAGGTGCTCGATGCTACATGGTCGCAGAAACTAGAGGAGGAGCGAACCAAATGGCGCGAGCAGACCATTTCGCCGCCCGCCTTGCTCCAGCAGCCGCGGACGCAGTCCCCCGTTGCCTACAGCCGGAGACCAAGTGCTTTGGAGCCTGTCTCACTAGACTTCCGGCCCACGAGCCGTCGTTCCTCGACGTTACCAACTTCGCCAGAAGTTGGCACTCCCACTCGCCAGAACTCTTTCCCCAACTCGACCTTGATGCTCTCCCCACCTCAAACTAACGGCTCCTCTCACCATGGTGTCCCAGAAACCCCGTCGATCACTTTCGAGCCCGACGAGTACTTCAGCCGCTCCGGGACGCCCTCGGCCTATGGCGGAGCAGCGACACAGCATTCGCGTGGCATCAACGACATTATCTCCGAGTCCACTGTAGGAGCGGGACCGTCCGTACAGCTTGTTGAGCGCATGAGCGCCACGGTCCGTCGCCTCGAGAGCGAACGCGCAGCATCGAAGGACGAACTCGCTCGAATCACCACACAACGTGATGAAGCGCGCCAGCAAATCGTCGACTTGATGCGCGAGGCGGAGGAGAAGCGATCCTCCGACGCTCGCGTGCAAGATCTTGAGAAGCGGCTCGAGGATCTTGACCAGAGATACCAGACGACGCTCGAGATGCTCGGCGAGAAGAGCGAACAGGTGGAAGAGCTTCAGGCCGATATTGCAGATCTCAAGAAGATCTATCGGGAGTTGGTTGACAGCACCATGAAATAAGAGGTGTTTGTGCGTAGTAAGACTTGTTATTGCTGCCCTGTACATAGATTTGTTCGTTCGGGCTAGACTCCGATTTAGACGATGTGATGTGAGACATGCCTTGAAAGAGAAGATGTCATGAATCTGTTAATTACCAAGACAAAAATTATATGGAAACAGTTATTCGATGAGCCTGAGAGTATCAAAGATAGACTCCGGGTATTAATCCTTCTTATATCTTCCATCCATCTGTCCTTCCCTATCCAACATATGGATAAACTATAACTCGATTCCCTCCCTCTCCGCCGTTTGCAGGATATAGCTCCGTACCTATAGACACACCACTATCAGCACACACTCCCACCTCAAGGAGACCACAAAGCAAAAGTGAATAGACTAACCTTACTATCCGGAGCCATATCAATGGCCAAAACGCCATTCGAATCTCTCTTATCCGCCTCGGCACCAGCCTTGAGCAACGTAATCGCCGCATCGCCGTGGCCCTCTGACACCGCGTGATGTAAAGCTGTCAATCCATCGACATCCGTCGCATTCACAGGACTTTTCCCATCCTCCAGGAGAATCTTGATGATGGGCGACGATCCAATTGCCGCTGCCCGGTGCAGAGGTAGTTGTCCGCGCCTATCCTTTACTCTCGCGCTGCACTTGTTGGCGATGAGGGTGCGGACGGTGGAGAGGTTGGCTTTGGAGGTTGCGAAGTGGAGGGCGTTCTGTTGTTGTTACAGATATCGTGTCAGGAAAAAAGGTGGCCTAGGTCAAAGGGTGGGTATGTACCTGGCCCGAGACGCTCTTCGTGCTTACGTCTGCGCCTTTCTTGAGCAGTAGGTCGATGATGGGATCGCCTTCAGCGTTCTTCAAGCTAGATGCGATCATGAGAGGCGTCCAGCCGGAGCCATCCTGTGGATATGTTAGTGAGGACTCTGACGTGGTATAATCTCAAACGTTGAGGTATTGACGAACGAACCTCGACATCGGGATCAAAGTGCTTGCTGGATATCAGTAGCTCCACGATCGGGAGACGGTTGTATGCTACTGCCCAGTGGATGGGGAGACGATCATCGTCATCTTTGACGTTTGCTAGCTTGGGGTTGGCCTAGAATCCATCAGCGGGAGATGTTCGAGCTACTAATGAGGTTGTGTAGAGCTCTCTGATGGCGGTGCGGGGCAGCTTCGGAGTAGCACGTACACTGAGGAGAGATTCGGCGATTTGAGCTGGAGTAGATCTGTTAGAGCTTATCACAATGACAGGATTGAGTGTCTCGTACTTTTGCCCTCCCGAGCAGCCTCGTGAAGAGGGAACTTAGCTTCCTGGCCGGTATTCATGATGGATGTGGCAGAATTACATGGGATCGAATAGCATCAACTAATCAATCGGCGGGGTTGGCATCTGGGCCTCGACACCTGAGAGTAGCTTTGATGCCTCAGGCAGATACCAGCTCGCCGCCCGCCGAAAATCAAGTCGAGCTTCGCTGCCGCTGATTCCAACTTCGCCTTCACTTTCAATCATCACCAATTCCACGCCTGCGCCGCGCTTTCTCCTGTCGTCCCGGTGCATAACACACTCCGCATGAGGCACACTTCTGATCTCGACTAAAAGCCCAATACACCCCGCCCCGGGGCTCAGGACGCGCCAACGACACGTCTCCGCAGCAAGCAGCTCGAACCTCCATACCGAGCGTCGGAATACCCTCCAACCCACCACCATGGACGTCGTTCCCTCTACCACCCCAGACGAGGCAGTGCGCCTCTCCGCCAAGCGGACGGCCGAGCTCTTCGGTTCCGACTACCTAATGGTCACCCCTTCCGTCGCCAATGGCTCCATCGCCACGTCCTACCGGCGCAAAGCAGAATACGAAGATGTAAAGGAACTCCCCCCAGCGCTGGCCGAAAAGCAAGCCAAAGCCGTGGCCGCTGGACGCGCCAAACGTCCGAAGATCCAACCACAGCCCCAAGCCGCCGTGGACGGCAGCGGCGCGTCCATGGCCCTCGTCAAGAAGGCCCCCGGCCCAGCAGCCGGCGGCGTCGGCGGTGAAAACGCTCCCAAGAGTCTCATTCAACGTCCCTCGGCGACGAAACAGCAACGACCCGACTGGCACCCGCCATGGAAGCTCATGCGGGTCATCTCCGGCCACTTGGGTTGGGTGCGCAGTTTGGCCGTCGAGCCGAACAACGAGTGGTTTGCTAGTGGTGCCGGCGACCGAACCATCAAGATCTGGAACCTGGCTACAGGCGCCCTCCGTCTCACCCTCACCGGTCACATTTCCACCGTCCGCGGTCTGGCCGTATCCCCCCGACATCCCTACCTCTTCTCCTGCGGTGAAGACAAAATGGTCAAGTGTTGGGATCTCGAAACCAACAAAGTCATCCGCCACTACCACGGCCATCTCAGCGGCGTCTACACCCTCGACCTGCATCCCCGTCTGGACCTCCTCGTCACAGGCGGTCGCGACGGCGTAGCCCGCGTCTGGGACATGCGCACCCGCGCCAACGTCCACGTCCTCGCCGGCCACAAGGGCACCGTCGCCGACGTCAAGTGCCAGGAAGCCGACCCGCAGATCATCTCGGGCTCCCTCGACGCCACCGTCCGCCTGTGGGACCTGGCAGCCGGTAAATCCATGGGCGTGCTCACGCACCACAAGAAGGGCGTGCGCGCTCTGGCCACCCACCCCCGCGAATTCACCTTCGCCTCCGCCAGCACCGGCTCCATCAAGCAATGGAAGTGCCCGGAGGGCGACTTCATGCAGAACTTCGACGGTCAGAACGCCATCATCAACACCCTCTCCGTCAACGAAGACAACGTCATGTTTTCCGGCGGTGATAACGGCTCCATGTGCTTCTGGGATTGGAAGACCGGGTACCAGTTCCAGAGCATGGATGCTGTCGCTCAGCCGGGCTCTCTGGAAGCCGAGGCGGGTATTATGGCTTCCACGTTCGATCGTACTGGTCTGCGTCTTATTACTGGTGAGGCTGATAAGACTATTAAGATCTGGAAGCCGGATGATGAGGCCACGGAGGAATCTCACCCTGTTACTTGGGCCCCGACCTTGGGCAGACAGAGGTATTAGTTTGTTAGTGTGGCTTGTGGTGTGCTTCTGCTCATTATCATCAATACCCCCGATGTCTTGTTTTCAGTTTGTTTATCTTGGGTGTGTGGGGGTGGAGCTACTTTGAGGGGGTTTAGTTTTCTAGCTTTGATGTTATGTCATGCTGTGTATGCACTTAGGAGTTTAGCGTTAATTATTTGGGATGTCAGCTTGGTTCCCTGGGAAAGGCTCATAAAAAGAATGTATCATATAATTTCTTAGAGATTGGAGGTGTCTGTTTCTTATAGCCTGAGAGTTGTAAGTTGTAGAATTTAGATGGCGTGTAATGATGTCAAGGTCTTAAGTATATTGTATTTCGTATTTGTATTGTTTCATTAATAAAACATATGGGTATCATTGTTATACAGTATGTATCATCTAGATTGTCCCGAATATAGTGAGTGGTAAATCACTGATCCAAGCCCAACCCAAGCCCCTTGGCTTCGTCATCCTCGCGGAAAGCAATTTTGACATCCTCTGCAGCGATACGTAGTCGTACTTTTCCGCTGCGATCGCCGCGATACGGTATAGCAGCGCTACCTAGCGGTCCCTTAGCACCGGCTCCGTACTCCAGGGCGAGAACGCCCGAGTTTGTCAGTTCCATCGCGGCGTAGCCCAAAGCTCGTACGCGAGCGCCGGTCCCTCCGGCTAATAGGAACTCTTTGATGCCGGCGCCTGCTGCTCCGGCCACGGCCACGGCCGCGTCGGCGATTCGTTTGGCTTCGTCGATAACGTCGCCGAATGCTGATTCGGAGATACCGGTGCGTCGGACGCGGGCTAGCATGGCGGCGAGGAAGAGCTTAGCGGCGAGGGGGAGACAGCGGAGGGACTGTTGGAGAGGGGTTGATGTGGCTTCGTGGATGGCCTGTTTGATTGTGGCGATGGTGACACGGCCGACTGTTTGTGGTTTGGTAGGGGGTTTCTTTTGAGGGGAGGACTGGGCGGATTGTTTGAGAGATCTTTCTCTGCGGGCTGGGGTCTTGCTGGGTGTTGGGGGTAGGGATTCGGTGTCGTCTGCGTCGGGTTTGTCTGTGTCTGGGTCTTGGGCTGCTGCTTCGCTAGCCTGTTCGGCAATTTCGACGGCGCGTCGACAGATGTCCAAAGCACGTCGGGCGTCACCACTAACGGCGGCGACCTTGCGACTGGCGAATTGAATGGCATCTGCGTCAACGATGTTTCCTGGTACGTTGGCTAAGCGGGTGCTGATGATTTCCATCAGATCTGTGTGCTTGTATCCTGGAAAGGTAATACGGGTGAGACCCAGCCGACTGGAAATCTTGTTGCTGAGTGTACGTTCCGGAAGATCCATGGTGTTTGCGACAGCCAAGACAATAAGGCGAGAGTGACGAAGTGCAGGCCAGTTGAAGAAGTTGTACATCACGGACTGATTCTTGGTGACAAGCTGATCGAGCTCGTCCATAAGAACGACGCAAGACACTCGTCGTGGGGATGGATGTGAGAACTCCCGCTCAAGAAGGTCGAGGGCATGTGAAGGCGATACTCTGTCACCCTTGAGCGCTGCCCAGAGCATTGAGTAAGATTGGTGGGGATCGGTGACCTTCATGCCGTTGATCTCAACGAAGATGAAATCGTCCATCTCTTCTGCCAACACGGCCGAATTCAACTGCGCAACGACTTCGCGGACCGTTGCTGTCTTTCCAGTACCCGGCGTCCCTGAAATGTAGATACAGGCCCCTGTCCCTTCCACGATCGCGGCACTGAGATGACTATAGACAGTTTCGAATTCTGTCTTTCGGCATGGGAGCGATGTAGGCACGGTGGAAACGTGCAGCAACGTGCGCGCCTGGCGGTACGGGGAGGCGAAATGAGTGGGTGAAAGAACACGAGTACCAAGAGGTGTGAACTCGAGTGGCTTTTTGACGACGATTCTGCGGGATATGTCAGTCAATGTTTGCTTGGAGAAACTTGTTTGCCTACCTCTTATGAGCTGGTGTGGTAAAGGTCTTTTGACGCCGCGACTGGGGAGTAGCATTTGTAGCCACTTTCTGTCTTTTCCTAGGTGTGGTGGGAACGAATTCGTCCTCTTCCTTGGTGTTATCCTTCTTCTCGTCATACTTCAATATACGTCAGCACCGTGAATCCACCACGATCAGGAACATCACTCACATCTTCGTCGACTTGCTTGCGCTTTTTGGCTGCTTTCAACCCATCCTTGATCAAGGTAATGAGATCAAAGACCCTATCCTCACGGTACACATCCTCCCAGACAAACTCTTCTGTATAACGTCCTTGCAGCTGGTTCACTCCTCTCCGAACAACAATGCACTTGTTGAACTCCGCGAGTTCTTCTTTTCCCTTCGGAGGAACACCGTCTGGGTACTTGGCGTAGAATGCATCCTTGGACATCACCGTAGCTTTGCCATTGATTGACGTAAGAGGATTGACGTTGAAATCGGCAGTCAGGTATTGCTCGTTGGGCAAAGCGTCGGTTCGTCGCTTGTTCCGGGTTGACATGAATTCATCCGGGGAAACAAACCACATGATGTTTGCCGATTTGATGACCTCCTCCTCAGCATCTGGGTCCTCCTGTTCCAAGAATTCCGTTATAATGCCAATCCAAA